ATGTGTTAGTCTCTGGGTAGTAAGTGTTATTTTCTATACGCTGACATCTCAAAAGTTACAAATGGGAGAAAATTCCCCTCAAACTTAATTTTTTTTGACACGGACAGTGATATTTACAAATGGAGCTATTTTGCTAGGAGAAAACGTGTGCATTTGTGTAATTCTTTCCTTTATATAAAGTTCTGGTCACAAAAGCAACATGTATGGGGAATAATATCCATCTTATATACTTAGGAGGCTTAAGCAATATAAAAATAACACTTTTTACCCAGGGAAAAATCGTGGTGCATAGTGTATATTTACTATCATCAAACATAACTTAATCCCTAACATATTTTAATATATAAGAGTGATACAAAATAGTAAACATAAATATTTAAATGTTTTAACTGAGCTGTGGAGTTGCGTGACTAACCTCGTAGCTTTTCGACGGAAATAAGAATCTCCGCGATTGTTTGAAGATATCGGGGAGGGTGGGGGGAAGGTAAACACGCCCACTTATGACATCCCCCCCCCCACCGAACACGGAGCAACGCCGCGAGTGTGTGCGAGTCTGAGAGTGTGAGTCTGTCTGAATGTGTGCGAGTCTGAAAGTGTGAGAGCGAGTGTATGTGTGAGTCTGAGTGTTAGAGTGAGTCTGTGTGTGTGAGTCTGAGTGTGAGAGTGAGTTTGTGTGTGAGTGTGAGTGTATGTGTGTGTGTGAGAGTGACTGTATGTGTGTGTGTGTGAGTCTGAGAGTGTGAGAGTGGAGTGTATGTGTGTGTGTGAGTCTGAGAGTGTGTGTGTGTGAGTCTGAGAGAGTGAGTGGTGAGTCTGAGAGTGTGAGAGTAAACATAATCTCATTGAATATCACCCGTACTGAAAGTGCAAATGTGAAGAAGTTGGAGCGAAAGTTTAAAGAGATTTATTTATTTAAATAAAAAAAGTTGTCAAAAATTGTAAATATTAAAAACTACACATGTGTTAGTACCTGGGTAGTAAGTGTTATTTTCTATACGCTGACATCTCAAAAGTTACAAATGGGAGAAAATTCCCCTCAAACTTAATTTTTTTTGACACGGACAGTGATATTTACAAATGGAGCTATTTTGCTAGGAAAAACCTGTGCATTTGTGTAATTCTTTCCTTTATATAAAGTTCTGGTCACAAAAGCAACATGTATGGGGAATAATATCCATCTTATATACTTAGGAGGCTTAAGCAATATGTATTTTCCCCCAGGGCAACGCTGGGTATATTGAGTTTATACCACAAAGTCGTCGCCTGACAGAGTTGCGTGTCGAGGCCTAGTACCGTGCAGAGCCTCCGGCCTCGCCTAGATTGCCCACCCGGCTGAGGCTGGGTACTGGAGCCATTACGCCCCCCCCCCCCCCCCGCGCTACGATAATACTGTCTAATCGCTATAATTTTATTATCTACCGACCCTATAATAGTAATTGCACACATTGGGGTGGGGGGGGGGGGAGTGAAGAGGACGTGAAACTTTGATGAATTTACCTCAGAGTCGCGTGTTAATGCGTGCGCATATTTTTAACGGGAATTAAAAATGGCGTCCACCCCGCAGCGAAGTTGTTGCTACCCGTTGCCAGGGGCAACCGCCGTGGTCCGCGCCGGCCGGCAATATTAAATAAATAAAGGTTTCAATAAATAACTAAAAAGAAATCTCACTAAATCGATCATCGGGCCGATTTAAAGTTTAGAGACGAAAAATCGGAAATGCCTAAGTTTACCGCGGGCCGGGGCGTGCTCACCTGCAAAATTTAATCTCGGCAAACCCCACGGTCCGAGAGCTAAATCCCCCGGAAGGGAGCGTACGCAGACGGACGGACAGACAGACAGATAGACAGACAGACAGACAAAAAATTAATTATATAGGTTAGATATACATAATTTCAACCGAGCGTTTCTTGTAAATTGAACTCCACTGCGATTGTTCTTATTATTTAAATGTTGAGTCAACGTTGCAATGTGGTTGGAACTCTCGGTGCAACGTTGCCTCAACGTTGCACGTTTTACTGGGTAGGTCCTCCTCACTGTGTCGTGGGTGCGCTTGTCTCATTGTCACTGCGCACGCATGCATGCAGTCAACAACTCACACCACGTGGGTTCATCATCAGCGTCTATACAACTCTTCCATTGTCTGTACTTGTGTATGTCCGAGCGGTAGTGTAATGGTTAGCGCACCGCACCACTAACTCGACAAACCGAGTTCGATTCCTGCTCACGGCCAACACCAGTGACGATTATCTGAACCGGTCCTGGGCATCCCCTAGGTCGACTCAGCCTCAAGTTAGTACCTGGTGCAGTGTGTAAACATCGCCACTAGGGAGACAAAGGCGGTTGGGCGTGGTGCTCGCCACCCACCCCCTTGTGTACCGTGCCGGCCTTCATAGGTGCTCGCTAATCGCACTTGCCCCAAAAGTCTGTTAAAGCGATGTGAGGGATCTTTGTCTCTCTTTTGGGTATGTATCCTCACTCAGAGGAGGAGTTGGAGGCATTGCCGATTGACCTGAAGCGTGCTACTAAGAGGTGGGGCTTTACCATCAGCCCCTCCAAAACTAAGCACCTGCCTGGGTATTTTGTGTCATCAAACACCCCACAAACCTGAACTCCCCATTGGTGATAGGGCAGTGTCCTTGTGACCAGCTACAGCAGAGATCTCAGTCTGAATCATTCGAGTGGCATTATCTTTCCATCGGCTGCTTAACGCTGTGTGGAAGCTACCTGGTCTGTCGCTCCGCACAAAGCCGAAATTCCGGTCTTCTCGGCCACAGACATGCCCTCTCCATTCTCTTCCCTTGCGAAACGTGGACCCTCGTAATGGAACATCTTAAACATTTAGGCTGGCCTGTCTGTGATCCATCCTGGATTTAACCAGGCTGGATCGTGTGAGGAGCTCGCAAATCCTTAAACATCTCGGCAAAGTCCCAACAGTGAGCTCCTCCGGCAGGCAAGGCTGCATTGGCTGGGTCATGCAGCCCGCACATGCCGGCCATCGCATGCCCAAACAGCTTTTGTTCGGCCGGATAGAGGGAACTAAACGGGCACGGCACAGGCTCGAGAAGAGATGGAATTACGTGGTGCGAGCAGATATGGAGCTGAGTGGACTTGCCAATGACTAATATCAGCGGTGTCAAGATCGGCCTCTGTGTAGGAGGCTCGTGAAGGACGCTACTGGGCAGTTGGAGGTAGTCGTCCTCCAACAACAACGGAGGGCGGAGGAGCCACGCTCACAACAACGAGCAAACTGGCACAGTAGGGGGCACAGGTGGTGCATCTGCCAGTCATCTCAGTCAACCCATGGCACCTGAGTCTGTCCCGTGACCTGCCAGCGGGCTTTCTACACTTCACGTGGCCTTAAAGTGCACTTAGCTTGGCATAATTGCCATGGTGCCGTCACCGCCACTTAGTGACGAATGGCGGTTGTTGTGTTGTATGTACTGTATGTACCACTTTTAACACATTATGCAAATCCACATTGTTCAAGCTACATGTACAACTGTGGTATCGATAGAAAATCCCGTCGTCTGTAGATGTGCAAGGCAAAATCATTTTTATTCGTGATCCTTCTTTGCCAAGGTCATGATGGGGGCCGCTTATGTGTACTACAAAATTATAAACCCAGGGACCCTAATGCGCTTATGAGCAATACGAAATCGAATGTCCCTCTGCTGGCCACGCGGACCAAACGCCAACCTCGCAACAGGCGTCCCTAGCAACACACATCCCTAGCAACAGGCGTTCCGAACAACGGCATCTCTAGCAATAGGCGCCCCTAGCAACAGGCATTCCTAGCAACAGGCATCCCTAGCAACAGGTGTGTCTAGCAACAGCCGTCCCTAGCAACGGCCGGGACTGCAGGCCGCGATATGGAGGCGTCAGGCAGCTCGGTGACCGGTCGAGGTAAGAATGAGAATGCGCGAGACGAACGAGTGATTGAATCTGGGAGGAATTAAACAAATTTTACCTAAAAACACTCTTACTAAATTATTTCACAATTCTGCTTAAATGTACTGTGCAATTCAACAAAATCAAAGGTTTTACTGCTTTTCGCCAGAATATAGCATGGTGTCAATGAAAAATATATAACTGCGTAAACGCCAGACGAATGAGAGTGAGAGGATTGAGTGAGTCAATGAATGAGATGTATAAGTAACTTAATGAGGAAGGAATGAGTCAGTGAATGTGGCACGAGTAAAATATCGGAGAAAATAAACACATATTTCATAACAATAATCCTGTACGGTACACATAAATAGAATCGACATACTTACGGTAGTTAAGTTGCACAATAACACAAGTAGATAATAACACTTATAATGCAAAAAAACCATTAATCATTTATACTGTCAATTTGTAAGTTGTACTTACCTTGCTCGATGATGGGGGCGTGATAATGATAATACCACTTTGGCGGTCATCGGCGCACTTGCCGCCACATGTTCCCGAATCGGCTTCTTGTTCTTTTTCACACCGCAAAGTGCTCGCTTGACGCGTGGTAATGCAGAGCGTACACCGTTATAACGTGGAACTCACACCATCATAACGTGGAACTCACACCGTCATAAGGTGGAACTCACACCGTTATAACGTGGAACTCACACCATCATAACGTGGAACTCACACCGTCATAAGGTGGAACTCACACCGTTATAACGTGGAACTCACACCGTCATAAGGTGGAACTCACACCGTTATAACGTGGGAACTCACACCGTTATAACGTGGAACTCACACCGTTATAACGTGGAACTCACACTGTTATAACGTGGAACTCACACCGTTATAACGTGGAACTCACACCGTCATAAGGTGGAACTCACACCGTTATAACGTGGAACTCACACCGTCATAAGGTGGAACTCACACCGTTATAACGTGGAACTCACACCGTTATAACGTGGAACTCACACTGTTATAACGTGGAACTCACACCGTTATAACGTGGAACTCACACCGTCATAAGGTGGAACTCACACCGTTATAACGTGGAACTCACACTGTTATAACGTGGTATCTGAGCAGTCGACGTCGAAAACTACTTTCTCGAACTGCGCAGCTGAGCGGTGCAGTGAAACCGTACACGGAATGATACAGCAACACAGCGGTCTACCCTCAATTAGTTGTCCTGCCATCTCCATGTGTGTGCGTACGCCGTATCCTGCCCAACTTTGTCACACGGCATCTATATGCGCGGCATAACGCATCGGCATCGGCCGCGTTAAACGAGGAGGGTTCCCTCACTCGCCACGTGGCGGCGGCTCACCAGCAGACGCACTTGTCACCCCTTACTTGCACTTGCTTTATTTAGCTACACTCATTACTTTCTCCTGCCTTTTTACTCTTGCTCTCACTTCCTCGCTTAAACGCTGTTAGACCCCGAAATAAAAAGTCAATAAAAAAAACTCCCATCACAAACGAAAGCAAAAATAGCACGAAGGGCACTTGAAGAGTAAAACTATTCCAGCAAGTGGAATCGCGAGAGCGGAGGGCACAGTCCAGTCAGCGTGCCGTGAAATTTAAAGCGCCCCTCGTCGTGATGCGGACCTTGCGACATCGCGAATAGTCCAAGGGAAAAAGCGCACCAAAGTCGAACTACTATACAAATAGAAAGTGGCGAATGGTCGAATTTCCGCGAAATAAACGAATCCGCTAATGAAGAGGTTTTACTGTTACGGTGTTAAGTGGTGTAGTGAAATTGTGTAGAGTCGTGGTGTAAGTGTCTACTGCAGTGGTGTAGTGTATTGACGGCGTGTAATCCTGCAGGGGTGTGCTGTAGTGGGGGCGGTGCGGGGTGGAGGTGAGCAGACCACATTCCCGATGTGTGGGTTTGGTGAATGTGCCGTGAGTCGGCCTGGCGCGTGCGCGCGTGCCCACGATGAGGCCGTGGCTGGTGAGCGTGGCCGGTGATGTCTGCCGGGTTTCAGGAGAGTCGTGTGCCAGTAAAGTGGTGCCTGGTGAGTGTCTGCCGAGTGGCGAGGTGTCAGGGATGTCTGGTGTGGGGTCAGACTGGTGAGTGGTGGTGTCGTGGGAATGGTGAGTGGCGTCTGGTGAGTGGCGTCTGGTTGGTCACTGACAGTGGTGTAAGGTGAGCGGTAAACAGGCCACCTCGTCAGGTGGTGAGTGTCTGGTGAGTGTTGGGGGTGGCCAATAGAAGAGGGGGCAGAGTTCGTGGTGGAGAAATCAGTAAGGGGAGAATTGTTGAAATCATGGGGATGAGCCGATAGAGAAGCTAACCCCGTCTATCGGACGTGCTGCCGTGCAGTCATCATCACGAGTCACAGTCCTTTGTTAAACCACTGTTGGATGAAGGCCTCCCCACTCCGTGTCACTAATGAGAGTGTTTCGCCATACTTCACCACGCTCGTAAGTGCGGCTTTTGTGAAGGGGTGGCCAATGGAACGGGGTGAAAGGGGTGCCTAACCACTGCGCCACCACTCCTCTCATTTTTTTGTAAACGTATAATTGGTTGATATTTTGACTTTGCTGCTATTTTTCGTATTTTATTTATCACATGGGATGTGTGTTGTTTTGTTTGCGATACGTTTTAAAAGAAACTCTATCAATGCCCTCTCATCTAAGTTTTCGTAAAGTTTACCCGGCCATGTGGAGACTGCAGAGAAAGCCTCTGTACTGACACCTCATAACCCATTACGTCTGGAGGGAAATCTTCTGTGCTGACACCACGTAACCCATCAAGCCTTGAGGGAAATCCTCTGTGCTGACACCCCCTAACCCATCAAGCCTGGATGTAGACCCTCTGTGCTGACACCACCTAACCCATCAAGCCTGGAGGGAAACCCTCTGTGCTGACACCACCTAACCCATCAAACCTGGAGGGAAACCCTCTGTGCTGACACCACCTAACCCATCAAACCTGGAGGGAAACCCTCTGTGCTGACACCACCTAACCCATCAAGCCTGGAGAAAAACCCTCTGTGCTGACACCACGTAACCCATCAAGCCTGGAGGGAAATCCTCTGTGCTGACACCACCTAACCCATCAAGCCTGGAGGGAAATCCTCTGTGCTGATACCACGTAACCCATCAAGCCTGGTGGGAAATCCTCTGTGCTGACACCACCTAACCCATCAAGCCTGGAGGTAGACCCTCTGTGCTGACACCACCTAACCCATCAAGCCTGGAGGGAAATCCTCTGTGCTGATACCACGTAACCCATCAAGCCTGGTGGGAAATCCTCTGTGCTGACACCACCTAACCCATCAAGCCTGGAGGGAAATCCTCTGTGTTGACACGGTGGTCCGGTCCTTGCGTCAGGGTTTGGGGGTCGAGAAGGCGGAGTTTCGCCTCCGCCTCTCTTCCTCTCACCTCTTCCTCCTCGTCGTCGTCTCTCCCTCTCTCGTTCATCGACCCCGAACCTGGGACTCGAACTCATGACCCGGAGCGAGCGGTGCGGATTTCGCGGAGGTGCAACAGAGCGAGAGAGACAGTATTCGAGTGAGTTGGCAAAGCAGTGAGAGAGTAAGTATGGCTGTCCGTGTGTGTGTGCGTGTCACACACACACACACGTGTCCGTCTGTAACTGCCGCGTGTACACGCGTGTATGTGTGTGCAGCACACGGCGCAATCTGTGTTTAGACGTGTACACGTGTTCGAGTGTGTACGCGTACAGCATAAGTAATGTACAGCATAGTTCATATACTGCACCCGCATCTGTGTGCACGTGTGTACTCTACAGTGAGTTTACACGTGTGTGCGCATGGTGTGTGTTTGCATGGTGTGTGTGCATGGTGTGTAATCTACAGTGAAGGTGCACACTAGTGGCCGTTCACAACACTTGCCCCAACAGTACAAGCGCGCGTGTGTACAGTCGAAGTGCGCGTGTGTGTACAAGTGTCTGTTATTTTCTTTGAACCTATCTACGTGACTACCGAACTACCGAAAGACCCAAGAATATGTCTGTACAAGTGTCTGTACACACTGCAGAGTACAAGTGTGTACTGTATCTACAAGAGCACACTCGTGCACGTACAAGAGCACACACTGCTTGTATTGTGTAATTTTTATACTTTAAAATTCCGTCACCCTCGTTCGAAAGGCTGCCCTTTTAAAAGTTTAGTTGCATTTTATTTGAGCATTTTTCTTGCGTCTTCGTCGCCTGCCGGGGGGAAGCTTCGCTGTGTCTTGTGTCACCAGAGGCTGGGAGTGCTGCTGCTGCACCGTGCTCTGTCTGGGTGGAGCGCTGCGCTACGGACCCGGCCGCCCGAGTTCGATTCCCGTTCACGGCCAATAACCAGTGACGATTATCTCATCCGGCCGTGGGCCTTCCCTAGGTCGACTCAGCCTCAAATAAGTACCTGGTACGGTGTGTAGACATCGCCGCTAGGGAGACAAAGGCGGCCGGGCGTGGTGCTGGCCACTCACCCCCTCGTGTCACACAGTGCCGTCCTTCATAGGTGCTTGCTAACATCACTTGCCCCAAAAGTCTGTTATGGCTATACGGGGGGTCTTTGTGTGTACTACTGTGTGTGTGTGTGTGTATCCCTGTGTATGTGTGTCTGTGTGTATCCATGTGTGTGTGTCTGTGTGTATCCCTCTGTGTGTGTGTCTGTGTGTACACCTGTGTGTATTTGTGTGTAGGCCTGTGTGTGTGTACCCCTGTGTGTGTGTCTGTGTATACCCCTGTGTGTGTGTCTGTGTATACCCCTGTGTGTGTGTGTGCCCCTGTGTGTGTCTGTGTGTACTCCTGGATGTGTGTCTGTGTGTACCCCTGGATGTGTGTCTGCGTGTACCCCTGGATGTGTGTCTGTGTGTACCCCTGTGTGTGTGTCTGCGGGGAGCGGTAGTGTAGCGGTTAGCGCGCTGCGCTATGAACCCGGCGACACGAGTTCGATTCCCGCTCACGGCCAACACCAGTGACGATTATCTGAACCGGTACCGGGCCTCCCCTAGGTCGACTCAGCCTCAAATGAGTACCTGGTACGGTGTGTAAACATCGCCACTGGGGAGACAAAGGCGGTCGGGCGTGGTTGCTGGCCACCCACCCCCTCGTGTACCGTTCCGGCCTTCATAGGTGCTCGCTAACAGCACTTGCCCCTACAGTCTGTTAAGGCTATACGGGGGATCTTTGTGTGTGTCTGTGCGTACCCCTGTGTATGTGTGTGTGTCTGTGTGTACCCCTGGATGTGTGTGTCTGTGTGTACGCCTGTGTGTATTTGTGTGTACCCCGTGTGTGTGTTTGTGTGTACCCCTGTGTGTGTGTTTGTGTGTATCCCTGTGTGTGTGTGTCTGTGTGTACGCCTGTGTGTATTTGTGTGTACCCCTGTGTGTGTGTCTGTGTGTGTGTACCCCTGTGTGTGTGTCTGTGTGTGTGTACCCCTGTGTGTGTGTCTGTGGGTACCCCTGTGTGTGTGTCTGTGTGTACGTCTGTGTGTATTTGTGTGTACCCCTGTGTGTTTGTCTGTGTGTATGCCTGTGTGTGTGTCTGTGTATCCCTGTGTGTGTGTCTGTGTATACCCCAGTGTGTGTCTGTGCGTACCCCTGTGTGTGTCTGTGTGTACCCCTGTGTGTGTGTGTCTACCCCTGTGTGTGTGTCTGTGTGTACCCCTGTGTGTGTACCCCTGTGTGTGTCTGTGTGTGTGTACCCCTGTGTGTGTTTGTTTGTGTGGGGGGCAGTCGCGTAGTGGTTAGCGCGCTGCAGTATGAACCCGGCTATCCGAGTTCGATTCCCACACACGTCCAACACCAGTGACGATTATCTAAACCGGTCCTGGACCTCCCCTAGGTTGACTTAGCCTCAAATGAGTACCTGGTGCGGTGTGTAAACATCGCCACTTGGGAGACAAAGGCAAGCTGGGCGGAGTGTTGGCCACCCTCCCCCTCGCTAACAGGACTTGTCCCAAACAGTCTGTTAAAGGCTATACGGGGGATCTTTGTCATTGTGTGTCGTCGCACGCTCGTGAAGCTTCAGCACTACAATGTCACCCATCGTACATTGAGGAGTGGCCATCGGTGCCGGAACGTGACTTGGATCCCACTTAGGTTCACTCAGCCTTAACCGAGTACACAGTGATGTGCGTTGACACCAAATCAGTATCTCCTCTTCCCCGTCTGCCCCGACTCGGAGATGGGGGACACTCCACATTACCATGGCAGGTACCAGTCTTCACACGGCGCCCCCCGCCCCCCACTTGTTCACCTCGCACAAAGTAGTAGAACCACCTTGGCTTTTTGAACCCCCTGAAGGTCAGGTAGCATAGGAGTCGGCCCTCGACTGGGATTGGAACCTGCGATGCCTGATTGACAGCAGGGTGCGGAGCTCGCTGACACCGCAGCTGCCCTTTGAGGCCGAATGGAGGGGGTTGCGTGGGGGTGGTGGTACTCCTGCTGTGTTTGTACCCTGCGCTCACAGCAAAGTGGAGGTTGTGTCACTTTTATTCAGGCATTGGGGGTGGCATTTGGGCGCCGTGGTGGCTAGGAGATGTCAACTACCTCGCCTGGTATGCAGCAGGTCATGGGTTCGATCCCGACCCGGACGCCTACTGTATATTTGGAGTTTGCGTCTCTCTCTCTCCCCGGGGTCATGTGGCGTTTTCTCTGGATCCTCCCGGTTTTCCCTCCACATTTAGAATCGACATGCGTTCATGGTATTTTTCTGCTATAAATTTCCACTTGATCAGCCACTTAATCTGGAGTTATCATTTGCGATAGCTAGGTCACTTCTGAAAAATAGCTATATAGCTAATTGGCCTTACCTGGTGAAATAAAAAATAGTTTAGTTCAGTTTTATTCACCAGCTTTGGAAGGCCTCACCCACCAGTGGGAAATCACATCCTTATGCCAGGGCCAGTATATCTATCCATAGGATGAGCATTGTTCCCTAACACGAAGTTTCACTCGATTTACTGATTCTCAGATGGATGATGATGACGATGATGATCCGAGGTGACCCTGACCTGGGATGTGAACCTATAACTCGTAACTCTCGTGAAATCCC